CCAGTTTTACAGTTTGTAATCACGTGATGCCCTGCCTTGCAAGATCACATCTTTTAGAAGTGCACTGAAAGCTGTATTGCCCAAAACCAAAAATGTCATGTATTGCAGTTTAGATCAGGTGGCTGCATTAGTTTTCTTTTCTTAGACCTTTCCCGCTCTGTTTTCCCCTGGTAATTTGGACAGTAACACACCTCCTCACTCTAGATGAAGGAGCACAGGGGCACCTTTGGACAGCAGCATTTTCCAGGGGGGAGGATTAGATGAACTAGTAGATTTAAATAAACTAAAAAATTGAAGTCAAACTCCAACTCACACTTTATAATCAGTTGCAGCAAACATTTTTTCCCCTTTGGGATAAAGATTTTACATAAATAAAAGCCGATTATTGTAAGCACCCCTGCCAGTGTTAAATGGCTTATCTTGTCCCTGTAACTGATACATCTGCAAGAGAGCTTGTTCTTTATATAAAAAAAAAAAAAAAAAAAAAAAAAAAAAAAAAAAAAAAAAACACAATGTCTGAATCACTAGATAAATACAGAAGAAAGAAAACCTGAAAAAGGAAAACCAATGTAGCCATCACATCTAAGAATTGCTAAGCTTCAATTTAATAAAATGTTTGCTTTTGGGTTTAATACCACTTGAGGTTTGAGGACTTTGTAACCTACCAGTAAACTCAGTCATACTTGTCGCCCATCTGACATGATTGGCTGTTCAGTAATTCTGTTTTGCTAGTAACCCTGATCTCAAGAGATGTCCACAGATATTCTAGAGTCCACTGTTCTGATACTGCAGTTTACTTATCTAATAGATAAAACTGTAAATATTGCATAATATACATTAGTACTTTACCTATGTGACCTTTGACTTTAGTCCCTTTTTTTCCCCCTTTATTCACTTGGGGAGGGAATGCATCCATATACTTTACCATACTTTTATGTGTGGCGGTTTACTCTAATTCTGACCATAGATGGATTGAAGTTTGGCAAGGGTCGGATGCATTTTGATCCATCTATGGCCAATTCCACTGAACAGAAATCAATCTAAGGATCAATGTTCTGCTTCAGCAATCTAAGCACTGAAAGTGTGATCTCTATAATTGATCAAGTTGTTCTGAGATTGTCTAAAGGAAAAGTAGGGCCAAAGTGAATTTAGTTCTGCATTCCTGTGATCCGTTTTTCACCATCACTGAGTCGGTCCAGACTCTGGAGGGATTTTGACTTTAATGTTGGGATCCACTCAGAAGCCTGAACTGGCAGCTGCTCCCTCTCCCTCCACAGCCCAGGGCTCCAGTGAGTGCTGGAGGAGCAGAGCAGAGAGCCGATGACTGACAGCCACCACTATCTGCTCACTGAACAGCCAGAATTGAGTGATCAGCAGTCTTAGATTGCTCATTTCCTGGTTTTAGAGCTGCAAGGGGACAGATGCAGCATCAGAGTGATGCTGTATCCATCTAGGCGAGTATGTTTTGGGGTTTTTTTTAACTTTTTTTTTTTAGACTTATAGTCTAGTAGCTTGACAGTGACTCAATCCAAATTACATCCTGCAGATCAAAGAAAGCTTTCATCCAAAGAAAGTTTGCAGATCATACCAGATGAACATCTGTTAGGTCAAAAAAAAAAAAAAAAAATCATAGTGTGTCTCCCTCCAGCAGAATACAATGTGATAAATGGAGACTCAAGAAGATGAAGAATGGAACTAACTACATAGAGAATCCCCTAGCCAAGGAGTGAGAAAAAGGACAAAATTATTCAACATTACAGCAAACAAACAATGCATGTGTAACATTATAATCCACTTCTGTCAAATGGGACTGTTAAAAATTGTTCTCAGTCAGCTGGCTGCAGCCAATGGAGTACCACTGTCAAAATACAATAGCATTGGGGAGGATTCTTCTGTCTACCTCAGTTGTGTGGATGGGAAAATCTGTTCGTTTTTCTTTGAAGAAGTCTTCTGGCGGATCAAAAAAAAAAAAAAAAAAAAAAAAAGGCATCCATGGACAGCCTTAGCCTAGGCTCAAACTAGCACTGCTGCATAAGCATTTATTTTTAGTATGTTTTTATAACAGCTTTATATGCATGTTTTTGTTGTGTTATCATGCATAAGGAGAAGAGTGGTTGTTAAACACAAAATCCTGCCAAAACACATGTGCAAGTGGGGTTTTTTTTTAATGCTTTTTTAGCGCTTCCATTTAAGTGTATAGAGTCAAACTGCACTATGCTGCACTAAAAGATGTACATGTTCCTCTTCAAATGCATTGAAACTAAGAAGCCAAGCAAAGGGATCACAGAGTTTAAACTGTTGTGGAAAGTGTGAAAGTATCACAAAGTTTTAGTTTCCATGACCAGCTTAGGAAGCTTCAGTTTGCATGGCAGTAACTTTAGAGCATGCGGCCAATCCAAACACAGTGAAATGTTATAAAAACTACTCCCTACAGGACGAAGCTTGAATGCATACAATTAATTACACTTATGCTTGATCCCATCGTTGCTTACACGGCTTAGATTACGGATTTATTTTTCTTTGAAATACAAAGGCTCTCACAGAAATCCTATCTACCCGTGTGCTAATGCTATACTAAGTTTCACAAACTGAAGCCACCACAGTAGAATTTATTTTTTTAAGGCCGTTTCTGGTCCCAGTAAAACCTGGACATTGTGGGAGAGGAGGGAGATACAAGCAAAGGTAATCCCCTGAACTCCAGGTTACATCTGTCACCATAGTCCATAACTAGGGACCAGGACTGTGGGTATAAACTGCCAGGAAAGAGAAGCAGTACAGGCAGTTCACTTTAAACCTTAGAAAATAAACCAATAACTGATTCTCCATAAATAATCCTTATACTGTATATCCACTACCTAATAGCCCTGTAATCTACTGTAATGTTCATGAAAAAGTTTCTTACTGTGTTATTCCCCCCCCCCCCCCCACTACCATTTGTCTGGAACAAGCAATGCATGTTTGTTGACTTCTATCAGTGTCCAGCAGAGGACATGTTAAAGCTTTCAAGAGGCATTTTCATTCTGCTGTAGGAGGATGCAGAACCCCTGACCTCTGTCTGGACAGTGCCGATGGGCCCTGTGCTGATCATATGCACTCTCCCAAGAAAAAAAAAAACTCTCTAGCAATACACACTAAACTGAGCATGTGCAGAGGGACACAATATATGTCCTATCGGGAGATAAGAGGGGGACACTAGAAGAAGGGGAGGATCAGAGTGTTTACACAATACAGAGGATTAACCCCTTAGGTTCCATAGGGAGTATATTTTTTTTGTGAGTTTAGTAACACTTTTACTTTTCAATTAGTTGTTTTGTTTAATTCCATACAAAATTGAAATTCCACATGTCTAAAGAAAAACACAATCTATAATAAAAGGAAGAGAGTGTTTATTCTACCTCTGGACAATGCTCAGAGTAGGTAAGCAGGACCCAACAAAGATGACATGATGTCTTATAGAGCCTGCTTGTAAGGTAATTTGTGACTGGCTGGCTGGTGGCACCAAATCTCCAAGCTCCCACTCTGCTCCTTCTTGGATAGGACAGGGATCCACCTGCTTGTAGTGGATAGCCTTCACCATACTGCAACCTCCTCCTTGCCAGAGACTGTCCCACAATATCCCCAGCCATTAGCCTTTATATTCACAAGAAAGAAGTGAATGTCCACCCAAAAGTTATAGTTTCTGCAATTTACTGTTCGTCATTCATAGATGGTAGTGAAAAAATCATATCACACAGACATACTATCCAGGGTCACTTGGCATACTTCGCCAATCACATATAGTGGACGTACCATAGCAGTCATTATTAGAAAGCCGCACATTGCACATCACCATTAAGCCATCTTCCCACAGTGTCTCTCTTTCATTTCCAAGGGTCATAGTACTCAGAGGACTCTGACTTGCCCATTAGGCTCTATGTATGTAGCTCATGACTCCCTGCATGCCGTTCCCGAGACAGGACTGCTGCAGCTGCTCCTATAGTTTCTGTACACTTCTCTAGGGACCTTCAGGGGAATGGCACTCGAGACCAGGGGTGGACTGACCATTTGGAAACTCAGGCACTGCCCGAGGGCCCGGGGTCAGTAGGGGGCCCCATGAGATGCCCCTGGTACCTTTTTTATAGGCTTTTTTGAGTTTGGGCAAGGACACAGGGGCCACATGATCCCTATTGCCCAGGGGCCCCATGAGTTGTCAGTCCACCCCTGCTCAAGACAGAGGACACTTAGCCTGGCCTAAAAGGCCTTTTGCATCCCGCTCCCAGTCCAGTTAGACCATGTATCAAGTCCACATAGACCATGTTTAGTGAGGCAGGATGACTACTGCTGGCTCTTCTGGGTGTCGGGCTATCTTACCTTGTCCTTCTGCCTTGTCCAAGGCTCTGCATTAGCTAACTACATCTGCATGCTGGTGGCGTGTTTGACATGCCCCACTGCACAAGGCTCCTCCAATCCTGGCATAAAACATAGCCACTAACACACCACTAACATACATTACTACAGGAAGGCTCTGTCTAAAAGGAAACCTAAACATCCAATTACATCTTTCCCTATTCCCAAATTATTTTGGCTTTTAAGACTGAGAACTGAGCGATCAAAGACCACTGATCACTCAGTTGTCTGCCTTCAGTGAGCAGAAAACATAACGGTCAATCACCAGCTCTCTGCTCTGCCTCTTCAGTGCTCACTGTGCTGTACGGGGGGGGGGGGGCTGGAGCAAATGGCTCAGGCTCTCAGTGGCTTGCTGAGAGTTGGAGCCATTTGCCGGACCAGGCATCTGGGTGGATCTCTACCATATGGTCCTGATCTTTTCAGAGCCTGGACCAGCTCTGTCTGTGAACTGCACTCCGGTGATCTATAGTAGAAGTACAGCCAAACAAAGCTTTGGTTATACTTCTATAAAGGCCTACAAAATAGGTTTCTTTTAATGGTAATATTGAATATACTTCTGTTCCTTTATTATATATATGTAGGTTCAAAGACATGTAATGTGCATTAATTCCTACCATTGGATGGAACCATTCGAAGCTTCTTTTGTTCTCGAATCCCTCTCTGAATACGCAACGTGGCCCACTAAAAATAATAAAAAATACAAATAAGGATGTTAAAAACTCTGCAAACTCATTCTATAAAAATACCATATAACCTAACACAGCATTCTGTTAAAAACTTTCCATACCTACTAAAGCTGAATAGGAAATAAAGCTAAATGTACAATCAAACATGGAAACACAAAATTAAAAGGAAATCTAAATATTAATGAAATGTAGCATAATGGTGAAATGATTCAGTAAACAGCATGATTAAGCCAACATTCTATCACCAAGATTTCTAAATATGGCAATGAAATTTTGTAGTAACCATCCCTCTGGTAAAAGTTACCATACATTTGGAGGAGGCTGCAAAAATGATGGAGGTGGCAATGCTTTGCGTCAAGGCCATGACAAATGTAATATTCATAATAATATATTATTATTATACAGTATTTATATAGCGCTAAAAGGTTTGCTCAGCACTGTACATTATAGGAGGGGGACAGTACATGAGACAATACAGTAACAATACAAAACACGAGGGGGTCAAGAGCCCTGCTCTTTCGAGCTTACAATCTAGGAAGGAGGGGATAGTGGTACAGGAGGAAGTGGCTGTGGGGGATGGAGTGGTGGGAGGAGTGGAGGAGATCGGCTGTTAGGTGAGGGCAGGGTAGGTTCCCTGAAGAGATGGGTTTTCAGGGTGCGCCTAAAGGTGAGGAGGGTAGGTGACAGTCTGATGGATTGGGGTAGGGAGTTCCAGAGGATGGGGAAAGTCCTGGAGAAGTCCTGCAGTTGGGCGTGGGAGGTGAAGACCAGGGAGCTAGAAAATAGGAGGTCTTGTGAGGAGCGAAGATTACGGGTAGGGTGGTATTTGGGTGAGGTAGTTTGGGGCAGCATTATGAATGGCTCTGTATGTCTGTGTTAATAGTTTGAATTTAATGCGTTGGGCAATGGGGAGCCAATGGAGGGAATGACAGAGGTGGGTGGCAGAAGAGGAGCGGTTGGTAAGGTGGATGAGTCTGGCCGCTGAGTTCAGTATAGACTGAAGCGGGGATAGTCTGTGATGAGGTAGGCCGGTGAGGAGGGAGTTGCAGTAGTCCAGACGCGAGATAATAAGGGAGTGAATGAATTTAGTAGAGTCTGGGGTTAGGAACGAACGTATTTTGGAGATGTTGTGGAGGTGGAGCCTGCATGAGTTTGCCAATGATTGGACATGGGGTTGAAAGGACAGGTTTGAGTCTAGAGTGACACCTAGGACTTTGGTGTGGGACTGATGGTGGCGTTGTTGGTCGTGTATTCAGGAGGTGGCAGGGTTACCTCCTACCACCTGACAGTGGCTGCCTAGCTGCGGTCTGAAAAGTGATCCAGAATTGATTGATTTTCAGACGTTGCCAACGTGGAAATCTAGCCAAACAGTGCTAAAAAGTGGGCAATGGCTGTTTTCCTCAAACAATCATCAGCATAACAAATAGACTTCCATATGTGGATCTTTGACTGCCCGCTTCTTTTCCAGACCTGACCCCCAACCACACCACCCTGTAGATTTCAAAAATGAAGTGTTAGATAACTGCCTACTATAACCTAGTAGGAGGTAAAAGAGTTTCAGTAGGCTTACTGAGCCCTAAAGTGTATCTACACTAAAACTTCTCATATTGAGAAGGGTTAGAACATCTGTCAAGTTTTCTTTTTTTGCTTTCTGTGTCCAGTTGGGCATTTCCCTTCGCTTTTTCACCTAGAGATACAAAAGGAAGTGACCAGAAAAAGTGTCCCACTTGAACATTTCTGCTTACTTCCTATTCCAGTTTTTTTTTTCCATGATCATCAGTACAAAATAGGTAAGGAAATCTCCCCAGTCAAAGCTGAGGAGAAGATGCAGGTGGCAGTAAGGGACTTTGGGCTTAGTTCCACCTTAAAGCTGAAGTCTAGATAACACTTTATGAGCAGTAACAGCAACAGTTTTTTTTTCCCCATTCAGGAAAAAAAAATGTTTTACATAACTGCTGTCATTGCTAAATGGTTTGTCTGAACATACACTACGTGAATTTCTGTCCCGCAATCAAGGGTTGCAGGAAATAAATTTGATTCCACCATCAACACTGTCAGTGTTGACAGGGGAATCCTTCCTGCTGAGCCACTGTATTCTCCCAGCAGGGGGGCTGCTAGCGATAATCGCATGTAAAATCCAGCAGGCTGGTTGTACTCAAGGTGATCAATCGAACAATTTTGTACATTCAGCCTGCCCAGGCATGGCGCGAATCTGGGGCTTTTAACCACCAGTTCAAACTGCCTATTGCCAGCCTTAAAGTGACTCTAAAGCTTCTTTTTTTCTTAAAATAACAAACATGTCTATACTTACCTGCTCTGTGCAGTGGTTTTACACAGAGCAGCCCCGATCCTCTTCTTTTTGGGTCCCCACCCGGCGCTCCTGCCTCCTCACTCCTAAACAGTGCCCCCAGGAAAAGCCACTCACCCTGGGGGCACTGCTGTGTGGTTGTCCCTGAGCCGCTGCTCTATGCAGCCATAAGACACAGAGCTGCAGCTTGTCCCTGCTCTCTACTCATTGGCTCACTGGCTGTGATTGATAGCAGAGGGAGACAACCAGCTCTCAGCCAATGAGAAGGAAGAGTCCCCAAACAGCAGAGGCTGTCTTGAACGTCGCTGGATCGGAGGGGGTTCAGGTAAAGATTGGGGGGGGGGGGGGGGGGCACTGCACACAGAAGGATTTTTACATAGTCATATACAGTTGTGTTCAAAATAATAGCAGTGTGTTGAAAAAAAGTGAATAAAGCTCAAAATCCTTCTAATAGCTTTTATTTCCATACACACAAATGCATTGGGAACACTACACATTCTATTCCAAATCAAACCATGAAGAAAAATATATCAAATTTGTGTTGTTCCTCTAAAAAAAAATGGAAGAAAAGTGAATATTAGACTGTTCAAAAAAATAGCAGTGTTTGTATTCTTCTTTACAAACTCAAACATTCACTATATAAACTGAAAAATGTTTGAAGATTTTGCTTTCCTTTGAATCACTTAATATTTTAATAATTTAGTTGTATAAGCACGGTTTCTGAGAACTGCTGTACATCTGTGTTGCATGGAGTCAACCAACTTCTGGCACCTGTGAACAGGTATTCCAGCCCAGGATGATCGGACTACATTCCACAGTTCTCTATTTCTTGGTTTTGCCTCAGAAACTGCATTTTTGAGTCACCCCACAAGTTTCCATTGGATTAAGATCCGGGGATTGGGCTGGCCACTCCATAACGTCAGTCTTGTTGGTCTGGAACCAAGATGTTGCCCGTTTATTGGTGCGTTTAGGGTCTTTGTCTTGTTGCAACACCCATTTCAAGGGCATTTCCTCCTCAGCATACGGCAGCATGACCTCTTCAAGTATTCAAACTGATCCATGATCCCTGGTATGCGATAAATAGGCCCAACACCGTAGTATGAGAAACATCCCCATATCATGATGCTTGCACAACCATGCTTCACTGTCTTCACAGTGTACTGTGGCTTGAATTCAGTGTTTGGGGGTCGTCTGACAAACTGTCTCCGGCCACTAGACCCAAAAAGAACAATCTTACTTTCATCAGTCCACAAAATGTTGCGCCATTTCTCTTTAGGCCAGTCAATGTGCTCTTTGGCAAATTGTAACCTCTTCAGCACGTCTTTTTTTCAACAGTGGGACTTTGCGGGGGCTTCTTGCAGATAGCTTGGCTTCACATAGGCGTCTTCTAATTGTAACAGTACTCACAGGTAACTTTACACCTTCTTTGATCTTCCTGGAGCTGATTGTTGGCTGAGTCCTTGCCATTTTGGCTATTCTTCTATCCATTTGAATGGTAGTTTTTCGCTTTCTTCCACGTCTTTCAGGTTTTGGTTGCCATTTTAAAGCATTTGCGATCATTTTAGCTGAGCAGCCTATCATTTTCTGCACTTCTTTATATGTTTTCTCCTCTCCAAATCAACTTTTTAATCAAGGTACGCTGTTCTTCTGAACAATGTCTGGAACAACCCATTTTCCTCAGAATTTCAGAGAGAAATGCACTGTAATCAGCATGTACAACATTTGCTGCCTTCCTTCCTTAAATAAGGGCAATAATTGACACCTGTTTTTCAAAGAATGAATGACCTCACTAATAAAACTCCACACTGCTATTATTTTGAACATGCCCCTTTCAATTAGTCTGTTTTGGCGTGTGCTTCAGAGCCGCGCTGCAATCGTGGGTCATGCTTGCAGTACCATTATTTGTTAATGGCACCTGAAGCGTGAATAGCAGCTCTGTGTTTTGCCACCCTCTCTATTTATCCAATTTACCATTATAATCAAAAGTGAACGTAAAGAAAAACCCAAATTTTGGGTTGTCCCCAGAAAAGTAAGAGTGGAAATCATCAAATGGGGACAAGTTCTGGTAACCTGGGGGTCTGCAAGGAATTCCCTTAACCGCTTCCTGACCGCCCTATAGCAAAAAAAAAAAAATGCTACAGGGTGGCACGGGTGCGCAAAATCACGTACATATACATGTGATTTTGCATTTCCAGGTAGGGAGCACACGCAAGCTGCACACGCGCCCTACCCGCGCAGCCATAGCGGTCAATCACTGGGTCCCGGCTGTTGATTACTCGCTAGCACCTGGTTATTTCCGAGGATCTCCAAAGGGGAGGAGAACTCGTTTACTAACAGTTCTCCTCCCTGTCAGCTCAGGCACACTGCCATTACAGTGAAGCACACACACAGCCTCCATAGTAAAACAGCACACAGTTAACCCTTTGATCGTCCCAGATTAACCCCTTCCTGCCCAGTGCCATTAGTACAATGTCAGTGCTTTTTTTTTTTTAGCACTGATCACTGTATTGGTGTCACTGGGGATGTCAGTGACACCAAGTACGTTCCTCCTCAGTGTCAGAATGTCCGCCGCAGTCCCGCTATAAGTCGCTGAGCACTGTCATTACTAAAAAAAAATTCCAGCATATACACTGCCATTTGTACACACTATAACTTTCACGTAAACCAATTAATTTATACATATTGGG